TAAAGAAAACTACTTAGACTAGATTGAGAGATTAAAAAAAAAATTGCGAGGGTAATTTTTTTTTTTTTTGCAAAAAAAATGCGTCGTACATATTTAAATTTTATTAAACAAATTTCTAAAATTATCAAGATTATCAAGGCTTTAGAATTTCTTCTACAATATTATTAGTTCCCTATGGATTATATGAACAGTTTTATGATTTTTGTAACCAATTACTTTATAATGTTATATTTGTAAAGGATCTCAAAAAATGTCAATATCTGAGAGTAATTCCAGGTCGATTTCCTTCTCTCTAGAGAGGCAAAGTCGGTGGTAACATTCCTGCGGATTCGCTAAGAGTTGTAACAAAATAAAACAGAACTATGAATATCTCTTTACTTATTAAGATCATTTCAAATTTGGAACCAATGATCTCTCGATAATAAAGGCAATATTCTAACTTTTAAACTTCTACCAGCTAAACTTAACTTTTAGCTAGTGTCTCTTACAATGATTGTCTAGAAAGTTTCTCAATTATAGGAGAGAGACATGATACGTCTGAGATATTTACTTGTTTGGGCAACTTTACTTATGGACTAGATCATGAGAAGTATCACAATTTCTAGACCTTAATCATATATTACAATCAAAAGGCATAAAATGAATACATTTTTAGGGGTTCATGAGATTAAATAAATTTCTCAAGGAGTCCATGTAGCTGACAACTTTGTGGGTACCGGCCATATCAGGGTTTAATCAGACAAGGTGTTAATAATGCTCTTAAAGGGAAAATACCAAAAGCTTTTATCGTTTAATAAAACTGATCTCAGAATACTATAGTATTCTGCAGTTATAACTGCATTGTTCATGGGACACTTTGATTTCAGATATTATCAATTAACCGTGGGAAGAGCTGCAGCGAATCTATGCTGATTAAGGAAAACCTCAATTGGCCATCGCTAGGGTGCCGTAGAGAGCAAGGATTTTGGGTAATGCCTTACTAGCCTCAATGATATCTTCAACATCTCACTAATTAAATATGATATCCTCATGATTGAACTTAATCTGTTATGTTGAACCAACGGCCTCAGAAGAGTTCTTAACAAATCAAGGAGTACGACAAGACCACATCCTGAGTTATAAACGATGTTTTTTTTATAAAATGTAAACTGTTGATGATACTAATGCTTATGGAAAAACGGAGTTGATCATAGATCGATATTTTCATAAAAGAATTTAAAATTTCAGCCCCTTAGCATCTCTAGTTGGTCGTGATCTTAACAGCCAGAACCCAGAATATATGTATGTATATACTTTTGTGGGTATATGATCGATGTGTTATTAACGCAAGGATAAAATCAATATATTCCCAGCTATTGGTGGTTATAAAATGCTATATTTAAATGAACTTGCGTAGTAGTGACCTTCACATTATATATTTTTTGTAAACAATCGAAAGTATATTATATACCGGAAACTTAAACTAAAAACATTTAACTTTATCATACTATAACCGGTAGTAACTTTTTAAGGAAATATCGCCAAAAAGTTCATGAATCATAGTAAATACATACATCAACTTAAGTTAAAGTACAAACTAAAAAACTGATTATTTTTTGTAAACAAATTTCATTTTTAAAACAAAATTATCCTAAAAACATATGCGTCATATCCTAAAAACATACTTCTGCTTATATACTTAATTATAGAAAACAATAATATTAAAAACTGTTTTGAATATTCATATTTTCAAATTGGTTTAAGTTTTAACTAAAACAAAAAGTTGTTTTTTATTTTTTATATAATAAATTTTATCAATTTTATTAATAAACGCCCCCTTATTTTTAAAAAGTTTAACTTTAACTACTTCGCAAAATAAAATTTATCTCCCAAAAAAGCAGATTGCCTGCAATTTATTTTATGATATCATACATATTTAACTAAATTAAACAAATTTCTATATTATGTTAACTTTCAATACTAGTATTTATATTTCTATAAATTATTATTATACATTTAAATGACTTAATCGTTTTCGCCTCTCAACAACTCACCTGCTTTTTTCTTTCAAATGCTAGAGAGAGTAAAAGAGAGAGACATGCAAAAACTATTTCAAACATTTGAACTTAAAAATTGTTCATTTATAAAAAAAACAAACTCATTTTATATTGTTAATTACATAGTTGTTTTATTACGTGCATATATTTATAAATAATTTCTATTTTAATTAGTTTTATTTGTTCAAATAAACAATTAAAACGATTAATAGGCGTCAACGTTATGTTTCAAATGTTTACTTTTACTAGATTTCCAAATTAAGTTTAGTTTATTTATTGCGGCAAACTTTCAAAGTACCGAAAAATTAAACATTTCAAGTAAAAAGGTCTTTAACCTGAGTTTTTTTATGATAGAAATTTTTTAGTTTCCTGGGGACAGTCTGTTTAAATAAAAGATTTTGACAGCTTATGAGTTTTTCATATACTATGTAGACTGACTTTAGACAAGACTATAGACTAGACTATAGACTAGACTATAGACCTAGACTATAGACTAGACTATAGACTAGACTATAGACTAGACTATAGACTAGACTATAGACTAGACTATAGACTAGACTATAGACTAGACTATAGACTAGACTATAGACTAGACTATAGACTAGACAATAGACTAGACTATAGACTAGACTATAGACTATACATAGACTTACTATGGACTAGACTATAGACTAGACTATAGAATAGACTATAGACTAGACTATATAATAGACTATAGACTAGACTATACATAGACTAGACTATAGACTAGGCTATAGACTAGACTATAGACTAGACTATAGACTAGATTATAGACTAGACTATAGACTAGACTATAGACTAGACTATAGACTAGACTATAGACTAGACTATAGACTAGACTATAGACTAGACTATAGACTAGACTATAGACTAGACTATAGACTAGACTATAGACTAGACTATAGACTAGATTATAGACTAGACTATAGACTAGACTATAGACTAGGCTATAGACTAGACTATAGACTAGACTATAGACTAGACTGTAGACTAGACTATAGACTAGACTATAGACTAGACTATAGACTAGACTATAGACTAGACTATAGACTAGACTATAGACTAGACTATAGACTAGACTATAGACTAGACTATAGACTAGACTATAGACTAGATTATAGACTAGACTATAGACTAGACTATAGACTAGACTATAGACTAGACTATAGACTAGATTATAGACTAGACTATAGACTAGACTATAGACTAGACTATAGACTAGACTATAGACTAGACTATAGACTAGACTATAGACTAGACTATAGACTAGACTATAGACTAGACTATAGACTAGACTATAGACTAGACTATAGACTTAGACTATAGACTAGACTATAGACTAGACTATAGACCTAGACTATAGACTAGACTATAGACTAGACTATAGACTAGACTATAGACTAGACTATAGACTAGACTAGACTAGACTATAGACTAGACTATAGACTAGACTATAGACTAGACTATAGACTAGACATAGACTAGACTATAGACCAGACTAGACTATAGACTAGACTATAGACTAGGACTATAGACTAGACTATAGACTAGACTATAGACTAGAACTATAGACTAGACTATAGACTAGACTATAGACTAGACTATAGACTAGACTATAGACTAGACTATAGACTAGACTATAGACTAGACTATAGACTAGACTATAGACTAGACTATAGACTAGACTATAGACTAGACTATAGACTAGACTATAGACTAGACTATAGACTAGACTATAGACTAGACTATAGACTAGACTATATAGACTAGACTATAGACTAGACTATAGACTAGACTATAGACTAGACTATAGACTAGACTATAGACTAGACTATAGACTAGACTATAGACTAGACTATAGACTAGACTATAGACTAGACTATAGACTAGACTATAGACTAGACTATAGACTAGACTATAGACTAGACTATAGACTAGACTATAGACTAGACTATAGACTAGACTATAGACTAGACTATAGACTAGACTATAGACTAGACTATAGACTAGACTATAGACTAGACTATAGACTAGACTATAGACTAGACTATAGACTAGACTATAGACTAGACTATAGACTAGACTATAGACTAGACTATAGACTAGACTATAGGCTAGACTTTAGACTAAACTATAGACTAGACTTTAGACTAGACTATTGACTGATAGTCAGATTCAACTATAGACTAGACTATTGACTGATAGTCAGATTCGACTATAGACAAGACTATAGACTAGACTTTAGACTAGACTATAGACTAGACTTTAGACTGTACTATAGACTAGACTATAAACTAGACTATAGACTAGACTTTAGACTAAACTAGACTATAGACTAGACTTTAGACTATACTATAGACTAGAATATAAACTAGACTATAGACTAGACTTTAGACTAGACTATAGACTAGACTTTAGACTAGACTTTAGACTAGACTATAGACTAGACTATAGACTAGACTTTAGACTATACTATAGACTAGACTTTAAACTATACTATAGACTATAGACTATAGACTAGACTATAGACTAGACTATATACTAGACTATATACTAGACTATAGACTAGACTATAGACTAGACTATAGAATAGACTATAGACTAGACTATGGACTATACTGTATATATTTATAGAACAATTTAGATGAATTCCATTATAGAACCATTTCGGTAAAAACTGTATTCATGCTTTAATTAATACTCTATTCTCCCATTACTGGAATTAGTCAAAATTTCTCTTATTTCCTATAACAATTTGTAACATTAATAATGTATCAACAATTCGATCTAGATTTATAAAAATGTTTGCTTACACGAAAGGTATTTTTTTTTTTTTTTCTTTTGTTTAAAACAAATTAAATACAGATAAAGCGAATATTATAAACAAAAATATTTAAACAAAAAATTACTTACTTTTGTGTTTATAGTGGGTTTTCCATTTACGAAAAAATGCCATGGTCAGTCACAGCTAACAGCGGCAGCAAATTGTATGAAACCAATTGAAAATGGATACAACAAATAACAAAAAATTGTACTCGCACAGCTTCACAAAATCAAAGTCGTCGTTTTGAATCAAATAAATAAATATAAAAAAAATTGTCCAAACAATTAATTTATTATTGAATCCAATGAACAAATACGATTAGAGAACAATTAGATCCACGAGATTGTTGTGAGGAAGGGGAATTTATGAAAGTATTGTAGGCCAATTGCTGAGAGAAAACAAAACGTTATGTTGTTATTTAAAAATTAGTGCAAACTTTTTTTGTTGTTTTTAAATTAGTTTAACTTGTTTTTAAAATATAGTTTGTTTTTAAATTTATTTTAATTAGTTAAGCTCTAAACAACGCAATTAATTTAACATAAACACACAAAAAAAGAAGGTATTAAACACTAAACTGTTTTTTGGTTCACTCCGTTTTGGTCGATTTATTACGAATCAAAAATAAACTTGTTTCTCCGTTCAAATTTGAATACAAAATGAAACGAAAAATAAAAATAACAATAAAATAATATTAAACAACGTTTCGTAGAAATTTGCAAAAAAAAAATATATAATTTTTTTTTTCTTATTCGTGAATGTGTAAAAACAACAAAACGAAAGAAAACAAAAACAAATATTATAAATAAATAATAAAAAATTTATATAAATATAAAAAACATAAATAATTCCATAACATCAACAAAAGCTTGAACACAATTTTATTTTTTCATTTTTTTGCGAATAAGGCTGAAGTTCAGATGATAAGCCAGTTGTATGCTCAATGGCGCCGCAGCCGCTAAATGGAGGTCGCTCTGAAACTCCTCTACATACTCAAAAACAAAACATAATCACTGGCCAGAGCATGGTACGAAGAGTATGCTGGATGTGTTGTATATGGAAAATATGACGACTTGGGACGGACATGGTAGAAAATATTGTTAAAAAAATTCATTTCTTTTTTTATTTTTATATAAATTTTTTTCTTAAATGATGAGATTATTTATAAATTTCTGTAAATTTCACCATATTTGTAGGGTATTATTAATTTTGATGTTGTCTTTGTAACATTAAGAAATAAATGGGACTATCTGACTTTGTAATTCCTAAAAATGTATGGAATATTTTCTATGAAAAGTAAAATTTCTATAAGAAAAATTTCCGGAACATTTCTATAGAAAAGAAATTTTCTAAAATAGAGAAATTCCGAAAAATTTTCTATACAAAAGGAGAACTTTCCGAAAAGCAAAAAAAAATTATAAAGAAAATAGAAATTTCCGAAAATGTTCTATAAAAAAGAGAAATTTCCGAAAATGTTCTATAAAAAAGAGAAATTTCCGAAAATGTTCTATAAAAAAGAGAAATTTCCGAAAATTTTCTATAAAAAAGAGAAATTTCCGAAAATTTTCTATAAAAAAGAGAAATTTCCGAAAATTTTCTATAAAAAAGAGAAATTTCCGAAAATTTTCTATAAAAAAGAGAAATTTCCGAAAATTTTCTATAAAAAAAATAAATTTCCGAAAATTTTCTATAAAAAAAAGAAATTTCCGAAAATTTTCTATAAAAAATTTCCGAAAATTTTCTATAAAAAATTTCCGAAAATTTTCTATAAAAAAATTTCCGAAAAATTTTCAATGAAAAAGACAAGTTTTCAAAAAAATTCCATAAAAGAGAGAAATTTCCGAAAATTTTCTCAATAAAAGATTTTTCCGAAATGTTTCTATAAAAAGGGAAATTTGCGAAAAAAAAAAGAAATTTCCAAATATTTTCTGTAAAGGAGAAGATAAAAAAGAGATATTTCCGAAAATTTTCTATAAAAAGATAAATTTTCCAAACAATTTCTATAAACAAGAAAGAAATTCCAAAACTTTTCTATAAAAAAGAAAATTGAGAATTAAATATAAATTGAAAAGAGAACAAATCGAATTTGTTTACATCTGATCTTTTCCGAATACAATTTGAAATGCCAATATTAATGGCGGTCTTCTTAATATAACTATTATGAACTCATTTCAATTTAAGTGGAAAATATCTGAATTACAAATAAGTTTAATATTAAATGTTGTTTCTTATTATCGAATTTTGAAAATTCCCCGAAAATCTTACATTCTGAAAAGATGTTTATTTGATATCTTATATATTTGTAGCAATTTTCAGTCAATGTCAGTATGTTAATTTCGAAAATTAAATTTGCTTCTCATTCCGTAAATCAAAAGTATCAAGGTAAAGAGCTTCTTTATAGGGAAGACTTAATATTTTATATAAATCTTTTCCTAAAAATGTTAAAACAGTTCGTCATACTGAAACCAAAAGTATTCTGTCTTATTTCAAAGACACTTTCTTTCTCAGTTCAAATAAAAAAACTAAAAAAAACTATATATAATCGCAATATTTACTATATTCAATATTTAGACGCGTTAACTATGACAATGGCTGCTGCAATGCAGTTGTAGAGGCAATGAAATACAAAGCCAGACAGACAGACAGATAGTCAGTAAGACTTTACTGCAAAATAAAAAAAAAAAAAAACAAATAACGACAGCATCATCCTCAACCATCCATCCGTCCATTAGAGTAAATATTACTCTCATAAGCTTTACCAAAAACTCGCACGTTTCGTACCAGGCACAAAATTATTATTTTGAAATGCAGCGCAACCAATGTTTGCGTTACAAAGGAAATAGTTGCCAGATTAACAGTTTTTAAAGAAATTTTTCATATTTTTTTTTTTGCCAAAAAGATAGAATAGCAAATATTTTATATAAAAATAAAAAGGAAATTTATCAATTTCTTTTAAAGAATTTAACGAATATTTTCAACAGTAAGAGCAATTTAACAAAAATTTCCTTTAAAAATTAAAATTTATCGATAATATTCTATAAATAAAAAAATGTTTCTACAAATAGAGAATTTATTGATATTTTTCAACGAAAAATTTATCAAAACTGTTCTTTTTGAAGATAAAATTGATCGAAAATGTTATTAAAACAGAAATTTATTGAAAATTTTCTATAAAAAATAAAAATTTATCATAAATTTACTGTAAAATGAAAAATATTTTGTCGAAACTTTTCTATAAAAAGATTTATTTGTCAAAATACATGTAAAAAGAACATGTATCGAATTTTTTATAAAAATAGTAAAAATTTTTGATATAAAACGAAAATTATTGAAAATTTTATTAAAAAAAGAAAAAATTTTAAAAAGTTGGCCTTAACGGCCAAATTTATAGAAAATTTGCCGTAAAAAGAGAAAATTTATCGAAAATTTTCTATAAAAGAAGAAATTTATCAAAAAATGAGAAAATTATCGAAAATTTATAGAAAATTTGCCGTAAAAAGATAAAATTTATCAAAATAGGTTATTCCTAGAGAAAATTATCGATAAATTTCTATAAAATGGAACATTTTATCGAAAATTTTCTATAAAAAATTTTCGATAAAATTATTAAAAACAAAAGAAATTTATCAATTTTTTATGAAGACAGAAATTTTTGAAAAATTTTCTTTAAAAAGTGAAATTTATCAAAACTATTTTTTTAAAAAAAGAATTTAATCAATAATTTTTTATAAAAACTGAAATTTTTCAAAATCTCTTATAAAAATAAAAAAAAAATTAACGAATATTTTCTATAAAGTGAGAAAATATATCAAAAATTTGATATAAAAAGAAACAAATTTATTGAAAATTTTCTATAAAAATATATATTTATCAAAAAATTTTTATAAAAAGAAAAAAAGTAGAAAAAATGTCTATAAAAAGTGAAAATAATAGAAGATTTGATGAAATTTAGAGAAATTTATCGAAAATTGGCTGTAAAAAGTGAAATTTACCAAAAAATTCTTTAAATAGATAAATGTAATCAAAATTTTCTATAAAAAGTAAAATTTATCGCAAATTTTTTATAATAAGGAAAACTTTATCGAACATTTTCTATAAAAATAGAAATTTATCGAAAATGTTCCATAAAAAATTAAATTTATCAAAATTTTTATAAAAACATTGAAGACTTTCTTTAAAAAGTAAAATGTATTAAAAAATTTTCTTTAAGAAAAAAAATTATCAAAAATGTTTTATAAAAAAATTTAATTTCTCAAAAACTTTTTTATGAAAAAAGACATTTATCGAAAATTTTCAATAAAAATTTAAATTTTATCTAAAATTTTCTACAAAAAATAAAGAATATTTACTATAAAAACGGCTAAACCGATTCACAGTGTGTTCCTGTATGCCTAGAAGGAAAATTAGGCTACTTTTTATTTTGAAATTTCAAGTGGGCGAGGTGCCACTCCTACTTACTAAATAACTATTAAAAGTCGTATATCTTGGAAACTGGTGCAATTAGAGTTCTCAAATTTTGCACGTACAACTTTGACATCCATAAGAATATTTTTGGACAAAATGGGCGAAATGGTTAGAGTGGGCGTGTCACCTTACATATTAAGAAAATATTAAATCAGTATATCTGAGAAAATATAACAGTTAGAGTCCTCAAATTTTCAATATGATTATTTAGGATAAAAAGTGGGCGCACTAGTAGCAGAGGGCGTGGCACTTCCCATATTATTTAAATACAAACATTCGATAATCTTGGAAACTATTAAAGTTAAAATCTTCAAATTTAAATTAACGTTTAGAAAAATTAGCGAACTTGCAATAATTTGAATGATATACATATATATATATCTATATAAAAAACTATTATAGTTAGAATCTTCAAAATCGTTAAGTGGGGATTTTTATTTATATTGTTTTTAGGGTAGCAAAGCACACTGGGTATAGCTAGTAAAAATATAAATGTTCTATAAAATTTCCAAAATTTTCTTTTAAAAATATATAACTTCTAACACTGAAAGAACCCTAGTCTAGTCTTTAGTCATAAATCGGTTGTTTGGAGAATTTATTATATTTGAAAACGGCTTTTAGCAAATAAATTACTCTGGCATCACTTCAATTATTATTGAAATTTGTATGAACGTATATAAAATGTAAAGGGAAAGGAAAGATAATGAAAATATATTTGGATTTATGAAAACCATTATACGAAGGTTGTTTAATAAATCTAACAAACAATTCAATATAACAAATATTCACCAAATTTTAATACAACCAGAAATATTATAAAATCATAACAACAAATTAATTTACAATTTTAACAATTATATTTTCCCCCCTTAACTTATCAAACACACCACGTATACTCAATACATGTCATAGACCGGGAATATGTAAAACAATTTGTATTATTTAAAATTTAACATTTTATATCAGTTTTTTTTTTTTTTCATTTACAATTTCTTTATCTTAAATTTAAACAAATTTTATTTGTTGTGTAGCAAAAAAAATTAAATTGCGTTGCGTTTTCTTTAAACAAATTTTTCACATAAAAAATAAACCGGAAAATCTTAAGTTTGTAACATACAAATTTTTTTCAAACTTACTTTTATTAATGAATTTGAAACTAGTTCAATATTAAGTATGACATAATAAAACAAAACCCGTTGTATTGAATTTTATAAAAATAGCTTATAAAATTATTACACCGTTTCTTTGATATTTTATTTTGAACACTTCAAAGCCACACAGCCAATTCTACATGCATTCACTTATTTGAAAAAGTGATTAACAATTCACTTAATTTGCAATAATTATACAAATTTTTGTTTTCCTATTAAAGTGTTAAGTTATAAAAAGAGATACAAATTATAAAAGAAATAACGAAAACAAAAAAAAAAAAAAAAAAACAATATTCTTAATTTCAAACACGTACACCGTTTGTTGTCTTAATCGAATTTTATTATTATAAATGTTTTTATTTATACGTTTGATTCTTAACAAAAAACACGCGTACTTAACGCTCCAAAGTTTTAAAATGATCTGTGCCTTATGCTCGTATTAGTTTGTTTCAACTCAATTTGGGCAGTTAGCTATAGCTACTCTTCTATGGTCTGACTCTACTATGTCTATAGAAATACTGAATTATTTGTTGTTGTGTTTTTCAAATCTTTACTCAAAAACTCATTTCCGTTCATTAACGTTTATTTTCTAATACCCTACAGTTGTGCATGGTACAGGTAGTGATGCTGTACTTCTGACATTAGTCTACACTTGTTGTTTTGGGGCGGGGGAGAAACCCCACCAAACTACTTATATTTTTATATATAGTTTTAATGGATTCTACCAAGTTATATTAGTAGTATTTCTTTGTCTCCATCCTCTCTTCGAGGTAAAACTAAGAGGTTAATGTAGACAACATAAACAGTTACTCGAAGTAATAAATTACACCACGGGATACAAAACTATCGAAAGCTAAACAAGAAAAATTGGTCTGACCGTCTTTAATAGATAATTATGAACTGTTCTTCAACTCAGACCTGAAGTTCAGCAAGTTGAAACCCAGAAACTAAAGTATACTTTTCTAAAGGAACTCAAGTCTGGTAGGCAGTACTTAAATCTGGTCACAAAATTATTCCATCACATCAGATTTTCGAGATATCGTGTCCTTTTTTTCTTGGACTAGCACTCAGGGGATGACCATTATTCATGTAGTATTGTGCTAGAATTAGGAAAATAGTTTTTGTAGGGAGGATGGAGGGAGTAGTGTTTAAATCTTTTAACACCGAAAGTGCGGACGGTACAGCATGACTTTTCCCTATAATGTGTTATGCGATCCATAGAATAATCGACTACAAATGGGTGTGTTCTTGATTAAAGACGTGTGTTAATACGTGTATCGGGAATGAGTTTCCTAATATGAGAGGAACACATTCCATTGTAATATCGATACACCCAACGTTACGACGATGCTTTAAACAATCAATAGAATTGGATACCATCAGTATCTTCGCTCTCTCCTGTACGCGGTCGTGTAGCTCCAAAATAGACTTGGAACCTTTGGTCCATATATGAAAGTTGGCGGTCGGAAATCGATTACAAATGAGTGTGTTCTTGTTGAAAGATATTCCACTCTAATATCGAAAGAACCACAAATGTATGTGTTCTTTATTAAAGACGTGTGTTTAGACGTTTATCGGGTATAAGTTTCCTAATATCAGAGGAACGTATTCCATTATAATATCGAATAGAACAGTGAAATACACCTCACGTTGGGTTGTTTTAATCAATCAATAGAATTGGATTAAGTATTTTCGCTCACTCCTGTACGCGGTCGAGTAGCTCCAAAATAGACTTTGAAGTTCCATTTGGATTGGATTAAGTATCTTCGCTCACTCCTGTACGCGGTCGAGTAGCTCCAAAATAGACTTTGAACCTCGGGCCCACATATGAAAGTTGTCGGTCGCAAAACGACTACAAATGAGTGTGTTCTTGTTGAAAGACACGTGTTGCCCTAAAATATACAGATATCGGGAACAAGTTCGCTTATATCAGAGGAACACATCCCACTCTAATATCGTTAGAACATGAGCGGTAGTTATCAGGATTGTTAGCCTCCCCCTTTTTAGGAGTATTACCAACTTTCCAGCATACAGGATATTTTCCGGAGTGGTATAAAATGTTGAAAAGCTTGGCTAATAGACCAGTGCCGGTATACCATCTGGTCCAGGAGACTTGTTTATGTTGAGATCCGATAAAATCCGTTTATCTGCACGCATATTTCGCATAGTTACTGATACCCTTTCTGATCAATCTTTTTCCAAGTTGGCCTGATCACAACAGGTTAGTTAACAACCCTTTACTGAATCGTATGCGCTTCACTACCGTTATCCGATTATCATGAATACATAGTTCCGCTAGGAGCGGCAAATACTCGGCGTGAAGTTCTCTGTGGATCTTATTATACATATTTATGTAAATTAATTGTCAGTTTTTTTTTCTGACAGATTTATTTGCCAAACAATCTACATTTCATAATCTATGATATTATTATACTGTATTTCAAAGTCAACTAGTATCAATGTGAATCACTTCACTAAGGTTAGCATGCAACTGAGTAAAATTTAGTTTCGTAATTTTTTTCCTTCTACTATTGACTAGAAAATATTCGAGTGGAATTTTCTACTCTATCATAGTATGGTCCACTAATAATGCACTCCTAAGCCGTAAACTGCAACAGTTGCAGCGTTTGTACATTCTGCCAACTGCATCTAGCACTGTATCAGTGTTGGTAGTACAATGCAGCTTTAACGGTTTAGCGGTTGATCAAACACACTTGCACACCACGTACGGTGTGCAACTTCGTATCTAAACATGTATCTATAATTACGCGTGTTTATCTTGGAGGTTTCTTTTGTATTTGCTTGGTTGGTACCGTACAAATACAGGTTGTTTTCATTGTTTTCAATTTACGTCTTTTTTGTTTTGTTTTTTTTTTGGGAAATTTTTTTTGTGTTCTGTGGCTTTGTCTTCATTTACGTTGTCATACTCTGAACTTTTATACACATGTTAATTTAAGTGAAGTGAACATTTTAAACTCGTTTCATTAGATTAATATTAATAAATAAATTTTTATTTTACTTATAAGTAAGAGTGTTATTATCTTTTTGTCTATTTGTAGTTGTTTTTTTATAAAATTTTATTTTTGTTTAAAAAAAGTCCCCCGAAAAATAAAAACAATGAAAAAATATTGTTTGTTTTTGGTTCTGTTAATTAAGAGATGTGAGAAAAATCATTTGTTTTGAGATTTATACTTTTTTATTTCGCTATAACGACATATTTAAGTAGTTTGTCACTGTAGGTATTTTTAGGCTCGATTATAGTTCAGACCACGTACAAGTCTATAGTTCAGACTGTAGAATGGAATATAGTTCAGACTAAAGACAAGTCTATAATCCAGACTATATTCTACTAGTTCATACTATAGACTAAACTATAGACCGGATTATAGTCCAGATTATAGATCAGACTATATGTTTAACAGTAGTTCTGACTAAAGTCTATACTATAGACTACACAGGTCAGATTATAGACCAGACTACTTACATATTAAACTGTAGTCTAAACTAAATCCTAAACTATTGGTTATACTATAGACTACACTATAATCCAGACTAGACTATAAACCGGGTAGACTATAATAGTCGCCCCTATATTCAATACTATAATTCAGATTATAGCCCAGACTATAGACTATACTGTTGTCCACAATAAAGGCTAGACTATAGATAGTAGTACTATAATTCAGATTATAGCCCAGACTATAGACTATACTGTTGTCCACAATAAAGGCTAGACTATAGAAAAAACTATAAACTAGACTACATTGATAACCAGGCTATAGACCAGGCAATGGACCAGCTAAGTACAATACAATCACTGTATTCCAGCTCAGAATAGAGTACAAACAAACACAGTACAGATTATTAACTAAATCATAGACCAGACAATGGACTTGACCATGGTTAAGAAAATAAAATAGTATATAATCATTTCTATTGACTACACCATTTTAAGTTTAAATTGAGAAAATAAAAATTCATATTGAGAATTACAAATTAAAATTTGGAAAATACAAATTAAAGTTCAGAAATTTAAATTAATATTGAGAAAAACCCATTTGAAAATGAGAAGTCCAAATTAATATTGAGAAATAATAAAATTAAATTAAGAAATGCAAATTAACATCGAGAACAAACTAATTGATATTCAGAATTCCAACATTATATTAAGAAATTACAAATTAAAATTGAGAAATTAATAAATGATAATGAGATATTTAAAATTTGTATGAAATTACTTGAAAATACTTTTTTTTATAAATCTTTTAAATAGGATATATATTTAAAATGTTATAAATTTCAATACAAAATTATTATTACCAATATTAATTTAGGTTTTCGTAATATCATTTTGTATTTTATCAATTTCAATTTGTATAGTCTCAATATTAATTTCGATTTCTCAATATGAATTGGTTTTTTTCTCAATATTGAGTTGGAATTTCAAATTTCAATTTGTTTTTTCTTAATATTAATTTTGATTCCTAAATTTAATTTTGTTATGTCTCAACATTAAATTGGATTTCTGAAATTCATTTTGGTTTTTCACAATACAAATTTGGATTTTCTCAATTTAAACTTGAAATGGTGTAGACTATAGTCCAGACTGTAGACTAGAATATGGAATAAACTATAGTCCAGACTATAGAATAAACTATAGTAGAATAAACAATAGTCCAGGCTATAGACCAAACTAAAGTCCAGAATATAGACCAAACTATAGTCCAGACTATAGACCAAACTATAGTCCAGACTATAGACCAAACTATAGTTCAGACTATAGAGTAGACTATGGTCCAGACTATATAGTAGACTATAGAGTAGATTATAGTCCAGAATATAGAGTAGACTATAGTCCAGACTATAGAGTAGGCTATAGTCCAGAGTATAGAGTAGGCTATAGTCCAGAGTATAGAGTAGACTATAGTCCAGACTATAGACTACACCACAGTTCAGTGTATAGTCTAGACTATAGACCAAACTGTATGCTGAACTCTAGTCAGTCTGTAGACTAGATTTTAGTCAAGACTACAAACTATAGACTAAACTATAGTCGTGACTATAATCTTGATTATATATACCCCAGACTATAGACCTGACAATAGTCCAGACTAGAACATAGTCCAGACTATAGTATGGACTATGTTCTGGAATATAGTTTAGTCTATAGCCTGGACTTTAGTCTAGGCCACAGTCTGTGCTGTAGTCTAGTCTACAGTCCTGAATACAGACTATAGACATGACTATAGTTATAGCTATAGGCTATATACATAGACTAGTCTATAGTCGAGACTAAAA